GTGAAACGTTGCTGATGTCCCCTTCTGTGGAGGTGCCCCGCTGTGTCCGTGAACGTTCTGTAAACACCAGAGCCTGACTGAAATTAACATTAACATGAAATCCATGCAGATTTCAAGTACCTAAAACTTCCAATAACCGAAAATATTTTTATCCGGTCAATTAAATAGACCCCTATAGATTAAGATAAGCAGTTCTGGTTTTACCTTTCATCTCGGTTTAGGAAATGTTGAGGGTTTGTACGATAAGGCAGATGTGGGTTTCTCTTTGTTGTTTTGACGAAATCCTGGTCGTCCTTAATCTCTGTAAATGCAGGTTGAGGCAGTAAGGATCTTCGCATTATGTAACTGCACACATGTGCAGTCAGGGCTCAGGACTAAAGCCTGACGCACTAATAACTGCAGGCTGACGGACGATGTACCGGAGCCAGCGACTCCTCTCACTTTCCCCCATGAGAACCGGCCCGTTGTCAGTGGCCCCCCCAGCCACCTGCCGCACCCCCACCACTGGCCGGATGCAGCACGGTCACGCTGGCGGTCCGTTTATCTCCGCCTGGCTTTGCGGCTTCGACAACTGCGGACGTGCCGGCCGCTTTATTCGCTAAGCGGACATTTTTACCCATAAGTCACTTTGCAGGCCCTCTGCCTTAATCCCTCTCGGTTTGGTATTTACACCTTTGTGGCTCCAGCGCAGTAGCCGTCCAGTTCCATCCAAACCCCCTGGACCGGCGGACGTGTGGGTTCTGAGGCGGAGCACCGCCCTGCAGTGGGCCTCCCATCCACACTGGGAGCTCACACAGGGCTACATTTATAGCTCCACGGTCCCTGGATCAGCACTGTCTGGTAACCACCTAGATTCTGGGTCCTACAGTGGCTCTTTCTGCTTTGTCTCAGCTGGCCGGGCCGTCGGCAGCCGGGGATTGATCCGCTGGCTGACCGCGTCAGGCCCACATTAGCCCTCCCAGCGATTGCCCGGTCTGCTGACGCACATCACTGTCAGTGGACTGACATGGGTCCAAATCTGGACCCGGCGATGGGTCCAAAACGTGCCGCGCGGCTGCTGTGTGCCTGCACTGCGTCCGAAAACTGTCCATGTAGAAAAGACCGGAACATTTAACAAGAGAGTGTGTGATCCAAAGTTACCAAGAAGCCCCCAGCAATAGAAACGTTCCTTCAGGGACTCAGAAAAACGAGGACTTTCATTTCAGGATGCGGTGATTTAACACTCCAGCTGGCCGGCTGTGCAGAATGTTCCGGATGAGCTTATGTCAGCCCGTTACACAAAATCTGTATTACAGGCTAAAAACTACATTGTTATTGCTAGTGTATTTTTTATGGAATTCTGAGTTTACTTCACTTTTAAAATCCTGGATTAGATACTAGTTTAGTGCAGCAAAGTGGTTCAATGATAGCAAAACCAGGTATATTTCTGTTATAGTGAAGATTTTCAAAAAACAAATAGGGAATGAAGAACACAGCTGATGAGTATGCTGGGTCTCTGGTGGTTCTTTACGCTGGCTCTGTATGGTGGTTCTTTACGCTGGCTCTCTCTGGTGGTTCTTTATCCTGGCTCTGTATGGTGATTCTTTACGCTGGCTCTGTATGGTGGTTCTTTATGATGGTTCTGCATGGTGGTACTTTACGCTGGCTCTGTATGGCGGTTCTTTATGATGGTTCTGTATGGTGGTACTTTATGCTGGCTCTGTATGGCGGTTCTTTATGATGGTTCTGTATGGTGGTA